CAATTTAATAAATATTATCATAAACCTCGTTTCCTATTTTATTATGGGCCGGTGTCAAAAAACACCTGCTTTTTAGGGCATATTTTCACCTGCTCAATCATTTATATTTTTAAAGTAATTTAGAAGTTATCTATACAGATTTATGTAAGTAAGCTTATTTTGAAGGCAAACCGAATGTTGAAAAAAAAAATTTGTTTTAATAGATAGCAAGTCGAGAGTCAAGATTCAGGTCAAAATTTAAAATAAAACAATATAACACTGTAAAGTCCATATAAGTAATAGTTAATAAAAAAAATTATATAAAAATAAAGTGGATCATTTTGAATAGTAACGAATAAAATCTTAGAAATAATGTTTTCAATAGTAACAATAACTCTTTTAATGAACTTCCTGCACTCAGCAATGCTCGAGTCCAATGCGAACTTTAATAGGAAACAGACCTCAATGGATTGTTCAAGACTTTGACTTTTGCCTTTCCAATGACAAATCTGCAAAAGCGTTGGTACTTTAATTATACGAATAGAGTTTAATGCATTCTCTTATTACTATTAAGCCTTGTAATAACATATAAAGTATTTGCAGGGAAATAAGTATTTTGTAAATAAACAGCCATATCTATAAAAAATATCTATCTCATCGCTAAGTCTATATATCTACGAGTAATATAAATAAATTTAAACATTTCAATTACTTAGTTTCAATGTTTGTATCAACTGTCAGAAGCTAAAATTTATATTGTAAATAAAAGATAACAACGACTTTGAAGGTGTGTCTTAAATTATTTGTTTATTATTTTGTGTTAAGCTATTTGCTTAGGAATACCGAGGTATCAATTTGACACTTTTTTTTTATTATATCTTCCGAGAGTAAGCAGTGACAAAAGTAATGCCTAGCGGCGAGTTTGGCATAACATGTGCTCTTGGCACGTGTTACCAGTTATTTATAAACTAAAGTGACTTCTCCCCACAAACTTCTTATTTCTTACAAACTTACTCAAAAAATGTTGAAACTCCTTTTACACGTTGTCTAGGTAAATGCTTCTCCTGGGGAAAATTAAGTCGTAAATGGAACTTAAGAGTTAAGACTTGTCGACAAACCAAGAATAATATAATTATAAAAGCTTATTCCGTTGCTATTGCCAGTATAAAATTCATTGCTGATTTTTTACGGCTTCATTCTACTTTATATGTTAAATAGCAATACTTTTTTATATTGCTTAATAAAAAATACGTATCAGGTCCTCAAAAAAAAATGGGCTTTAAAAGTTATATTTTTAAATGTCTTTATATTCATAGATATGCATTCGTAAACTTTTATCAAATTTTATATTTCTACCATATATCATATGTTTAAACAATAAACGCTGCCAGTCTTATTTCTATTTAAAAAATGACAGAATGAACATTCAGCCTTGTTTCTCAAAAACTCTGTGTTTAATTATTATGACTTATCTTATCTACATTCATATATAATATAATTGGGTAATAAACAATACTGAAATATCTCGATTAATGCGATCGTTTTCATCAGCTTTAAAACAAACCAAGCTCCACAAAAATGTGCCTAAAAGTTGTCTTTGTAGCCCAAGTGGGATTAATTTGTCTTACTTTGTAAACCTTTCTAGGACATTGAGATATTATCATCAGTATTCTATATTTCACAATTTTGAATGCCAAAAAAACAAAAAAATATTACTATATCATACATGAAGCTGAGTATTTCATTTGTGTATGTTTATAGAACTTGCAAATTTATACAAAAGAAATACCAGTAATTACTTACCAAATATAATTATGATGCGTTTTATTCTCGCGAATAGTCGCTATGTCGAATTCTCGGAAACGAGCATTAATACATACTTAGTAGTCTGGCAGTAGAGGTCGAGTTTATCGACGTATACACATGGGGTTATATGTCGTTCTGTTTTACGTATTTTATACGTATCATTATGAACTAGCGACTCATCCTGACTTCGGGGCACACGCATTTATTATATATATATATATATATATATATATATATATATATTAATTATTACACTCTCATATTTTTTTGTTCTGCAGTTTTTTGGAACAAAGAACACACATCATTCTTTCATTTCTACACAACATAAACAAATCAGGCTGATCTGTTGCGTTGTGGAATAAAAACTAACGAGTAACGAGTAAACACATTTTCTCTTCTTTCGTTTTAAATTATAATCAGCTTTTTGCTTATGTAAATGAATAATATATATATATATATATATATATATATATATATATAGTTTTCTGATGAGCTTAATGTCATTTCTATTGTATTACATTCTATGTGTTACTTTTAAGCCCGTCGCTCCCCGCGTCCTTTCACCTACCGACGACCTCGCTCGCTCTCGTAAAAACATTTATTATTAAAGTTATTTTTATACCTTGTACAGAATGAAGAAATTAACTTCATATAATAAAGGTACACGTGTTATTATTTAAATTCAAGTTATTATATTTTTGATGATTGTTATTTAAATTAGGACTATAAATGAGAAAATATTCTAAGTTTATATGATCTATCTGAATGTTTTAGATTGAAGAATTTAATGTATGTGTTAGATAAATTGTTAAACTGATATAAATCTATAGGTATAAAATATTATATCTTTATATGATATTAAACGTAGTTTTTAGATAACTTTGTTACACTCAAAAAGTTCCTTCTATAATTGACTGCTATCAATAAACTTCCGTAATATTTTCCATAAAGATAGTGAGTACATATATGATAATTAATTAATTAGCTAAGTAAAAATCACGCATGATTAAATGATTTTTAATAAGAATTTCAAATAGGACACGTTCTAGCGTGAGATTTTATAACTATAAAAAATATTGATCTTAAGCGATTAATAATACAATTATCACGCACCTAACCACGTTTAAGCAAGAAACAAGATATAAAATGGAGTGGACACTCAAGTGGGTGTGGAAACTACCAGCATTTTCACGTAAAAATAATCTAATCGACAAATCCAACGTTATTGGTACCTTATAAAATAAACAGTACAAAGTGTATTGTCAAATGTTATAATATTTACTTGGCACAATATTTTATAATGCACTAGCATTGCCCGCGGCTCCGCCCGCGTTCGATGACCAAAAAGGTAATTCTTAGGATTTACATATTAGTGTAATCTTACAATGCAGTTTTTGTGTTTTTGTATTTTTTCTCAGAAATGAGATATTTTCCCGCGGTAAAAAGTAGCCTATATGTTGACCCGGATAAAAAGCTATCATCATACCAAATTTCATCAAAATCTGTCCAGTGGTTTTCTCGTGATGCGGTAACAGACAGACAGACAGAAAGACAGACAGCCAGACAGACAGCCAGACAGACAAAAATTCTAAAAACTATAGATTCGGACTCTGTATCGATAATAATGTCTATATCAATTAGATTTCCCAAAAAATATTTAATGTACAGATTCGGCTTAGTTACAATTTTATTATATGTATAGATTTATGATTTAACTGAAATGTACAACATCAACGCAAAGTGGCATGCATGTTTCTAGAAAAAAAACCGTTCAGTTTAAAAGATGATAAAGACGGTTTTAAAACAACGTGATTACGCGCGTCAAACAAACTACATACTATACTTGGTCGTATTATTGCAAAGATATATATATATACATACATATAAATTGTACCTATTCAGAACGTTGTGCCAACTGGCAATAGGCAAACGTCCCCAAAATTATGGCAATCTTCAATATCAACATTCTGAACACGTCATATTCAAATGTGTGTAGGTCGATCAACGTCATCACATTTCACAAGCTCAAGATCAATGAACTGAATTTCATTTATGTACTACAATGATTATCTGTTCCTGTAAAAGAGTCTTTGAGAATCAAGAATAACACATGACGTTCTCACCGCCCCCTTTCTTTACCTACTTATTCCGCTTCCGCTCTTGTCTGCGAATCGGGTAATTTAATTTTGTTCAATAGCTTTCATCTTGATTCTACTGTAATTTTAAATTGTCGCACAAAGAGTTTTTGATTTCTGCGTCCCGTGAAACAAATTGATTTGACTATGTAATGTACCTTAATATCAATTTGATTGGTTTTATCCCTTAATAAAGTTAATATAGGCCCTGACTTCACTATTATATATTTATATTTATAATATATATGTAAAGTTATATATATGTAGTGTATCAACTATCTGGTATCCATAACACAAGCCTCGTAGCTTACCATGGAACTAGATGGTGCTGTGTGTTAATGTCGCAACATTTATTTATTATTTATATTCAATTTCTCAAATAATATAGGAAATAAGTAATAAAATTTAATTGTACTACGATGCAACGTAGTTCATTGATAAAATGAATAGAGGTACATTGAATGCTCCAAACCCGTCAGAAGTTTCCATTTCCAGCGGTGTGATAAGGAAACGCGATGATAACTGGCCGACTTACACTCACAAGCTTTAACATTAATGTTTAAAAACACTGATTATATTACAATTATTTGTATCCATTTTGTAATTTTATCCATTTTTGGCACAAGTATCAAAAGTTAAATAAACATTCACAAGCGACATGTGTCGCTAATGGAATATCCCATTTCTTAACGTATAAGCAAAACAAGACGCTGATAGAGTACGTATATAACATGTAAATAGAAAAATTAAATTTACGTCACTGGAACATATTAAGCCTAAATTTATAAAATGTTTATGACGTTGTTTTCCATATAAAACCTTGAATTACGATCAAGTTTATTTTGCTACGTCAAGTACCCTAGATTGTTAGACCGTGTTTACATAATTATGTACATAGATGTCTAATTAAGCAGTATTTTCTTCATATCTAAGATAAAATGGTGATTGATAATGATTGTTCTTGAATAAAATTTTGAACATCATCTCGAAAAAGGCTTGCTAACGAAATACGATGAATATATCTATAATTAAATTTTGTACACAGAACTACAGTGACTGATATTTTTTTTTCTTTTCCAGCGACACTCATTACTGCAACAGCAGGAACTTGCTACGGTTGGCCGTCACCGACTCTTTCGTATCTACAATCAAAAGAAAGCTCGATACCAACATCGCCTGCCGAGGGGTCATGGATAGTTTCAATAATGATCCTATGTTCAGCACTAACCCCTATTCCCTCGGCCTATTTCGCCGATCGCTTCGGAAGAAAAACTACTCTTCTTCTCGGAGCCATACCCTTCATCCTCGGCTGGGTGCTCGTCATCGTAGCAAAATCCGTCCCCGTTCTGTACGTAGCCCGAATGTTCTCTGGTCTCGGGTACGGTATCGTGTACACGGTTGCCCCCATGTACACAGGAGAGATTGCCACAAATGAAGTCAGAGGAGCCCTTTCAACTCTCATTACATTAATGAATAAGGTAAAATTTTTCTTTATTTTCTTACATTTTGTTATATTTCTTTTTAAAAATATAGTCCTATTATGACACCATACAATTACGAGTTTGTTGAGCGACTTCCGTTTAAGAAACATTATGTATAATATATTGAAGGGACGGTAATAGAAAAGACCTCAACAATATGAGCTAGATTTTCTTAGAATTTGTTTATTATTTTATTCCATTACAATGTTATGCTCTTGACTCAGTAAATTCGTATTCTATGTTATTTGGCTTAAAATAAATCACTAAACGGAACTAAAAGCGAGAATAACAGACAAACATACACAAGTTTGTCATTCAATAGTTATTATTCCGAATTAACGTCATTAATAAGTATTAAAAACCATCTAGATCATTTTAACTATTTATTTCCTGGCTATTTAATAGTAAAATAGTATTATTAGGTGATTTATCCTGACAAACTGCAATGCGAAACGAGTAAACAATGAGTCATTGCCGTAATTATATGTTACACACAATGAAATTTGTTTGTTGAAATAAAAATATACGTAGGTATACTAAATTATTTTTCAATAAAAAATGCAAGTACAATAAGTATTATTGTGATATATTTATGCTATATTTCAATATGCTTCATGTTTTATATACTTACTATTAAGAGAGTTATTTTCTAATAAACGGTCGTTAGATTTACGATAGGTATACTAATTTTCATATATTAATAAAGCTGGAATTGGTACAAAATGAAATAGGGTTTTGAATATCATGCATATATCCATTCATAATTATTAGTTTGTAAAATGTTCTACGTTGAAGTTTTAATCAAATTTTTAAGAAAATATTCAGCATTACCGTTACAAACATTTTTTTTTTTATAAAACTTCAATAATAACAATAATGTTAACGGACACAATAAATATTTACCCTACACATAAACTGGCTTCATTAATTTTTAAAGTTGCTTATGTTCTAATTCCAGGTCGGTATACTTGCCCAATTCTGCATCGGCCCCTTCGTTACGATGCGAACTTTAGCCGCCATCAACTTGATCCTACCCATTTCGTTCGTAATTACCTTCATCTTTCTACCGGAATCGCCGTACTACTATCTGAAGTTTGAACGTAGCGAAAGGGCGGAAAGATCGCTCCGGAGATTGCGATCAGGTGACATAAGATTAGAACTTAAGAATATTGAAATCAGCGTTCAAGAAGATATGAAGAATAGAGGCACGTGGTTAGATCTCATATCTGAGGCTACAAATCGAAAAGCTTTGTGGATAAGCCTTGGGATTTTCACTATACAGCAGCTTTGTGGAAGTGCTGCTGTAGTTGCATATGCTCAAGTTATCTTCGAAGTCACCGAAAGCAAAATAGAACCCTATCAGGAATCTATTATCCTGGGTTGCGTGCAAGTCTTGACATGTTGCGTCTCAGTGGTGCTCGTGGATCGACTTGGGAGAAAGCCTTTACTGTTGCTATCGGCCCTTGGTGTTGGTCTCATGAATGGTATTATCGGTACTTACTTTTATTTCTACGCCACTAATAAACCGTCTGTGGCAAACTTCTATTGGGTACCAATAACAGCCATTCTAATCTACATCGTATGCTACGCTATCGGTCTATCGACGGTCCCCTACGTGATTATCGGAGAAATGTTCCCGACAAATGTCAAATTATATGCCTCATGCGTCGCCCATATTTACACTGGATTTTCTATGTTTGCAGTTCAAAAACTTTTCCAGGTAATTATTGCTATATCTATACTATTATTATAGACGTTAAAGTAACACACTTAAACTGTTGAACAGATTTCGATGAAATAATGCAAGGGCATAAATTATATTATGAGGACCGACATAATATGTAAGTTACCTTTTATCCCTGTCCTGAACCTTGCTAGCAAAGCTAAAACAAATAAATAAATAATAACATATAAAATATATAAAACTATATTTTAGTGTTATCTATCGAAGTAGAGTCAAGTTATTTCTTGTAATTATTTTTGGGCAAATTTACTTATATTAACAAATCTAATCAAATAATGCATCTAATTAAAAAAAGTGATTATCTATATTATAGTATAATATATTTGTTTTATCGATATTTTATCGATAACTAAGAACAATAGGATTACACAAGCTTTATTATCACTAAATTACTTAATCGCATCTCTTATAAACTCAAAACATGGTATATCTACTTTTATCTTGCTTTGTGTTCGTGACAATTCTTTATATCTCAAACAATATATCTCTCAATTATAATTATGAATGTAAATCATTTTACAAAGGCTTCATAGAACTATATTTTAATTAATATGTAGTATAGCAATATTGTATCACTTTTTAGAATTAATTACTTAAAGCCATTTATTTTCAATTCCAGGTAGTGAAGGATGCATGGGGTATTTACACAGTATTCTGGGGATTTTCTGTATTCTCGCTACTGGGACTTATGTTTATGCTGGCGGTACTGCCCGAAACCAAGGGGAAATCGTTCGCGTCTATTCAAGCACAGCTACGAAGGGACGTCGCAAGGGACAATGCCAGTAAACTCATCACCGTCGAGTATTAAGTCTTGATAAATGGCGGATTTACTTATATGCCTTCATAATGTTGTCATTTAAAATACTTTCATATTGTGCTCTCATTTTTATATTAAAATTGAAAAAACATTTAGGTTTATTATATATAAGTCTTCGACTTCTATGCGTGTTCTTATAGAATATTAATGTAAATTGTTGAATCTATTTAAAATGTAATTTTAGCTACTTAAAATAAATTCATTATACTAGCCTATTTGAAACTCCGCCATAGAATAAGCTAATTTAGGGATCAAGTTGAAGTGAAAATAAGATTGAATAATTAATGTAATGATAGTTTTATTAGTGACATAAATATACAATGTCATATAAGTAGCCTGTAGAGGGGTAAGAGAAGTGTTGTGGGGAAGAGAGTCGAGGCGCTGGAGAACGCGGTGAAGTCTTCTGGGTCATACTTCTCGGGTAGAGCCCGGGTGGATATGACCTTCGAATAGAGACGTGCCGAGTCCTTTGGAGTCCTCGTCTTGTTGGGACTATCGAAATCAACTAAATAAAGACCGAAGCGGGACCTGCAATTGCATTTACATAAATAACGAGTGGAAATATAACAAGATTTGAGACAAAATGTGTTTTATTTTATTCATTTACGTTAAAATAATTTTAGGTATATGAATTATTTATTCCATATAATTTAAAAATAATCTCATACACTTAAAATGTCATATCCACGATCCTAATGAGTTTAAAATTATAGACACAAAAATTTTGTTACATAACCACCAAGCTCAGCTTACGTACACAGTGCCATCTTGTGAGAAGTATTGTTATTACTGCATGTTACTTAACTTAGAATACTACCGAGATAATTCTCATAGATGGCGTTCATTACATTAAAGGATTGTTTGAAGTAAAAACTTTTTGCTACCAGTAAATATGAAAAAAAAACGCCTAATATTTTGTTTTCAAAAAATCTTCTATTTTATAGTTTTGAAATTTTTATATATTTTTCTTGCCATTAGATAATGCATATAATACATGTTTCACATAACATAAATCATTTTTGACACAATAATAATGTGGATTGGATCTATTATAATGAATTACTATGATAACGTATCTAATAATTTGGTAGATAACAACAATAAACCTTGCGACAATCAATGTTCAGGGTAATTAAGGGTTTACCTATGTTTAATACTAGCGACTTATGCTCGCTCCGCTCGGGTTCGTCCCTAGATACGTTTTAACTAGATATGTTTTAACAGACAGACAAAAATTATAAAAACTATAGATTCGGCTTCTGTATCGATAATAATTTCATCCATTTATATAACTATACTAATATTATAAATGTGAAAGTGTGTTTGTTTGTTTGTCCTTCGTTCGCAACAAAACAGAGTGACGGATTGACGTGATTTTTTGTGTGGAGATAGTTAGAGGGCTGGAGACTTAGGCTACTTTTCACCGCGGGAGATAATCTAATTCCCACGGGATAACACGCTATATTACAATCCAAACTTGAAACTTGGTATTAATGCTCTTCAATAAAATTAAATAAATACGTGTTTAATTAAGCATTTTTCGAAATTCATCCTATAAGGGGTAAAATAGTGGATGAAAGTTTGTATGAAACCACCTTTTTAGAGATTTTTTTGTACTTTTAGCGCGAGCGAAGCCGCGGCTTCTGCTAGTATTATATATTTGAAATACAAAATAAGTACACTAGTATTTAAATACCATAAAACAGAATTTAGAGGGTGAAGACAAAAAAATATATATGAAGCGACATATAATTTACTATTTATCATAAGCAATAAAATAAATTTGAATCGACATCGACAAGTTTCATTTTCATTACCTAGTCGTAAACTCCTTAGTAGGTTTAGGATTTAGCTCTCCAGAAATTGTAATGGTAAACTAATTTTATTTTTTAATAACAAATTATTGTAACTAAATCGATATGACTACTCGATGTGTTATAACTACAAATTTAAAATGTCTCAAAATAAAATTGCTTCTTTAAAAAATATGAAAATAATTAAATATAATTAGGAAAATGAAGATATTTAAAAATTATCTTCGATCAATTGATTACGGCTCTATGTAGAGTCATTGTTTGGCATTGCATATCAAAATTTTAACTTGTTATTAAATCTACTTCATTTTTCTCGCCGAAGTAATTGGTATAAGGCAAAGAGACTTAACAAGAGACCTTGACACCAATTCGAGCTAAGGTTCGTGCTTCGTGTACTAAAAGCAGTATATTAAAAACAATCTAATCTTCGTTGAAAAACAATCTAATAGTTAATTTTTGGATCATGAACATATTAAAATAGCTATATAATCTTATGTTAACAATAAATAAATAAATTTTATAGTACATAATTTTTGTTTGCCACAGAAAACTGCATTAGATTTCTACTGGCACTGTACTGGGTACTGACATCGGAAGTCGGCGTTCAATTATTCCCGTATAGCGGAAACGTCCCTATAGTCGATTGTCTCACACTCCAGAGTCACATTAAATAACAATATTCTAAATGTAAAGGCTTATAGAATGATGAAAAACAATACAAGATACAAAACTAAGTAGGTGCAGAAATACCGTCAATCAAATAAGGATAAACTAACAAATATACGTTCGCAATTTTATATTAATAATAATGCAATATATTTAAAAATACTTACACATATCCATCATCCCACTCCCAATTGTCCATCAAACTCCAAGCAAAGTATCCTTGCACATTGCTATGGTCTTCATGTATCGCGTGTAAGAGTGAGTTCAAATAATGGCAATAATATGACACTCTCGCTTTATCGTTTACTCCACTATAATCAGCGTAACCATTTTCAGTTACAATTATTGGCACGTTCTTATAAGTTTTCGTTATCCATTTAAGAAGGCGACGGAATCCAAACGGCACAACCTAGTAATTGAAAATAAACTTTAGTTATAATTTTTTATATGAAAATGTAATTAAAAATTCTTAGCTGACGTAATGTTTACTTTGATATGGGGTTGAGAGAATTTTAAATTACCTACTTTAAATATTAATATTTAACTAAATCAGAATTAAACCCAGAAATTACTGGTACAGAAATCTATGCCAGGCGTTCATCATTTATATCATAGTATTCACAATAATATATTGTAAAATGACAGCAATAAGAATCGTCTGCTACAATTAACAGTAAATCTCATATTATTAAAATCGTATCAATAAATGGGTTTATTATTATGTCATGTATACATATAACCTACGTTTGTAAAAATATAAAGCTTTTAAGATTTAAGTACTCTATTTTACGAACTCTACTTTTTTTTCTTTCTGTACGTGAATTGTTTTTATTAAATTTAACGTTCGATTTTTAGTAAATTTAACTAAATTTAATTTAAGTTTTAAATCGATATAATCAATAATCGAAAAATTATACAATTAGTCGAGAAAACACATTAATTATATAGTTAAGGTCCGGCCAGCTTGTCTACAATGTAATAAATTGTAACTTAAATATTTATCTGACAATAGTAAAACACACAAACTGGAAGTTTTTAATCGCCTGATAAAATTAACATACGACGGAACTAAAAACTATTTCGAGTTACGATCTACTGTTTCATATACACAATTCACACTCACACACAAACATCTGCACACACAGCTACACATTACATACGTATTAATAAATTCTTATTTATTAACAAATTGTGTCTTTTGTACGTTCTTATTAAAAATAAGTACATATATTGGAGCATGACATACGATAGGTATCTTGGACATTAGAGGATTGATTCTACACATATATATATATATATATAGCACTGAGGTGTCCGTTAATGGCTATATTGTATACAGACCGCAGGAAAGTAACAAAGACCATACGTAGGAACTTACGAGTACCATAAATATAAAATATAAAACCGAAAAAAAATATAAAATATGCATACATTACAATTAAACAATACATAAAATAAAATTAGTATTATTTTATGTATTGTTTAATTGTAATGTATGCATATTTTTTATTTTTGAAAATAAAATAAATCTTACCACGTTTAAAAGCATGGAATTCACAAAAGATTAACATATTTTTATATTATTTGACTGGATACGTGACAAGAAGTTTTGAACAACATTGTGTAAATATAGATTCAATTATACAAACATCTGTTTTGTAGTTTGCTATTTTCGCATAACTGTTTCAAATCTAAAGCAAATATTACAGAGTTAATAAAACATTATTATTGTACATGTGAATATAGCTATTCGAATATTATCTTGTATTATGATATCTCGTTTGTAAAATGTACCTACAGAAATTTTATGTATGTATAATAAAGTCGAAGAAATACCAGGTATTTTATTATAACTAGTTTAACTCCTTTCCACCTCACAACTTCTTCTTTTTATATTGTAAAAAGATGTTCACAATCTTAATAATTAAATAAAAATATGAATTTTTGAAACATATTATTTGCATCTTATCTTAAACCTGCTCGCCTTCGACTATTGGTCAAGGAAAATTAAGTTTTAACCTCAAACAGATGCTTATTACAATTTTTAGCATATTAAAAGTGTTATTGATCGTTTCAATTATCTCCGAAATGCCATAAATAATTTAAAGTATTGTCGTAATTAAATCAATAAAATGAAATCTGTACTTATTCAGTAGATACCTTAAGCCATGACGACGAAGACATTGAAGGCCAATTCGGATCCTGCACTCTCACTATACCAACATCATTAGCGTGGGAGGGGATATCACCAACTTCTCCATCAGCCATACTGAGCAAATAAGTTGTGTAATGGTTCAAGCCAAAGAAATCAGCCGTTCCCTTTATATAAGCAATTTCATCCTCTGTGAATTTTGGCAAACGAGATCGAGTGTAATTTTGTTGGCGACTCTTCTCGTCCACTAGTTTTATCAGCTCTGGAGGATAGTTCCCTTCCTCTGAATACACTGGGTGTGCGTACCAACCGAGCTGTAAAAAACCATAATTTTTGTGTTAATTTTTATGATTGTATACTGTGGGGCATGTATTGATAAATATAGCACAAATTCTTAGAGAATTTTTAATCTCATTCTAAAAATCATATTAAACTATAAAATAATAAATAATCCCTTGGCTTTTGGTGTCAAGGTGACGTTATGCTATACATTCAGCACTTTGCATCATATTTCAATCACTAATCTATACATATAATTTACTCATAATGACACTATGTAATAATTTGTTGTAGTAGACTGTGTAGTATAAGATAAATCAATACTTTTTATCTGTCGTCTTTGTTGTGAGCTAATTGGAAATGCATGGATGGGTTTCAATAAAAATACTATTCATTTAACAGCAAATCCTCTGATTTGAAGATCATTTAAGTTTTAATTTAATCGGTTGAGTGAATTTATCTATAAATAAAGAACCAAGCTTGATCTCCCTTTACTATGATAGGTACTGCTTAATAAAAACAAATCTAGTTTGTATGTTTATAAATTTTAGACCAATTTTAGCGAAGTTTTTACTGGCAGAATATTCATGCAGAATGGATATACTTATGTATCAGCATGATAAATTTTATGAAGACTTATTGTAGCTCGATTTAAAGGAGGCTTTTACTTTTCTAACAATCAAATTCTTGGTCAAAAGTCACACGAGACTACTTTCTATTCTGGGCGAATAAAAAAATTCGCACAAGATAGAAGATATATAATGTTTTAAAACTAAAGTATAACTTAAAAACTTTTTTCGGAAAATGCAATTGTTTTTCGAATTATTACCTACTAGTGGAAACTGCACCCAAATCGGTTAAGCCGTTTCTGAGAGCGCGCACAAACGCAGACAAACAGACAAAAAAATCTAAAAATCATTTGTTTTTCTCAAATATCCTCCATGTACAGACAGCGATCAGTTACAATTTTATTACATGTATAGATGAATAACTAATCGCAATCACTACTTATACATTATTTAGTCATTGAATAGCACTTAGCTTTAATTTGACTGTAGCTAGATCGTATTTAATTTGTTTGACTTTGCATTAACACAAGTAAGAATGACTAAATGTTATAAAAAATTTCAAAAAACTTGCTAACTCACATGAGTTTGTAGGTAGCGCTCTACTGCTTCGCGATCCTTTGAAGAATTTGTTTTAGGTTCAGCCCAATTGGAGTCTAGGGACATACCAATTTTACCTGGAATAAAAGAACAATCCTGTATACTATTTTGTGTCTCGTATATGTCTTCTGATAGGCAGTGGTAGCCTAGTGGTAACGCTCTCGCTTGGGAAACCGAGTGAAGCGGGTTCAAATCCCGGGTCTCGCACCTCTGATATTTTCATGTGCGAATCATTTCTAACATGATTACCACTTGCCTTACGGTGAAGGAAAACATCGTAAGGAAACCTGCATGTCTGAGAGAACTTAGCAAGTTTTCAAAAGACATGTGAAGTCCGCCAACCCGCACTTGGCCAGCGTGGTGGACTATGGCCTGATCCCCCTCGTATTGAAGGGAGGCCCGTGCCCAGCAGTGGGACGTTAAAAAGGGCTGAATACAATATTTCTTCACTTTTAATTTCGACCTAGAGACACGTAAGCGAAGTAAGGTCGGATAAATAAAAATTAAAAACTAAGGACGGAAGTATAAGGAAAAATATAGACTTTTTATGAATCGTGCACTATTATGTATTGTTAATACAATCTCGCAAAAATAATAATAATAAAATTATAGTATTATATGATCTGTGATAGAATGTAATTAATCAATTAAAACACACTTCATCTTTGTTAATACTGTAAGAGACGGCACGTGCAAAGAAATAAAAATTTTAAATTCATTACGATTATTACTATTTCCCACTAATGTATATGTATGTTTGTTTTATATCCCAACATCAATTATAACTGCATTACTGTTGCACGTTTAGTGTCCAATATTATAGATTTTTAATAACGTACAATAAAAATAACATTAATAAGTAGTTAAGATTTGAACTTATTATTGTTCTTACTAACAGCGGATAGTCTGTATATTATCTTTTTAATCTCTTGGTTTACTTATGTAAATGAGTAAATATTAAATAAGGTAATAATTAAAAGACGTCAATTTTCTATCTGGTAATATTTTTTATATACATATATATTATATACATACATATATATTTTATATACATAAATTACATATCATATTCGAAATATTATAAAAATATGTTAATTCACACTACATGCGTAGGAAAATATTTATGAGGTTTTGGATAATAAAAATTGACTATATTAAATAAATACTAAGGATAAATTCAAAACTTGTTAAAAATGCTAAACATCAATAAACGTGTAAGTTATAATTGTAGTGGTTCTATCAATGTTTATTTGTATAAACTAAACCAATTTAATACGTCCATGAGTACAACATAACATATTAACATTCCATATGTTACGTATATAAAATATGCTTATTAATACGCTATACTGAACATATTATTTTATTCGTATAAAAAATATATTCTATTCATTTTCGAGTGTAGTATAAGCACTAAGTATAAAACTAAAAAATTTTGAAAGTACACTTTCAAAGACGTCGGAGAAAGTTTCATCATTATTGAAAGTAACGCTTTCATTGAGATTTTGTGATAACTAAAATAGTTTAGTCATTCATTTTATACTAATTAATCTTTATAATTACCTCCGTACAGGGGACGATACTGTTGGGCAAATAAATGATAGACGCTTGCGTGAGCCTTTAATAAATTATGGGTGCAAAGATATTCGGCAATACCATGGCGATTGAGAGCAGGCGCTCGATATGTGTTGCCGTAGCCCTCTAAACACGTCTGCATCGGCTCATTGAACGTTACCCAGTATTTTACTTTATCTGCAAAGTTTTCGAATAAGACATTCGCGTAATCCGTGTAATAGTCAACAATATGTGCATTCGTCCAACCGCCGATATCTTGCAATTTTTGAGGTAAATCCCAATGATAAATTGTAACCATTGGAGTTATATTATACTTCTCAAGCTCGTTTATTAAATTCTTGTAATACTGAATGCCGCTCGGATTTATTTTATTTGCTAAACCATTTGGTAATATCCTAGGCCAAGATATGGAGAATCTGTAAATGTCTACACCGAGTTCGTGAACCATTTCAGCGTCTCTTTTATATAAATGATAGGAATCCGCTGCCACATCTGGTGTAGAACCATCTTTGGTGAAATTTGGATTCGTACGCACTAAGTGGTCCCATATATTTTCCGTTTTCCCTGAAAATATATAAAAATAAAATATGTATACTGCAATATTACATTGATTTCTAATAGAAAATATTAAAATAAGAAATAAGAAATTTGAAATTACCGTCTTCATTCCAGGCTCCTTCTATTTGAATAGCTGCGGTCGAAACGCCAAAAAGGAACTCTTTTGGAAATGTATAATTGCTTTTTCCGCCACCTGCTAAGTTTGATTGAGCATATCTGAAAAAAAAAATATACCCATATTTACTTGTATTTTTTAACACCTTAATTAAAACCGGATGATGAATATTACCAACTGATTTAGTATTATCATTATAATAAAATAATAATACAACTATAATTTTGATTTATTGCATCTTTAATCAATATATTTTAGTTGAAAGTTTTTTTACTATTAATGACTATGTGAATCTGTTATGTATTTTGTAAAATTTATACTTAAATAAACTTTTATTACTATAATTATACAATTAGGACATAAAAGTAAATTATGATAGCATGTGACGTTGCAATAAGTGTAATAAATAATTATTAATCCCTCCACGACCGCGGATACGCCGGCGTGTCAGTTAACAATAGATTTCTTAGAATTTTAATTAATTTCTTAGAAATTTACCTGGAGGTGTCAACTTTAGAGCGAAATTATATCATTTTCAAATATTTAAAACTATTTTTACTGCGACTGTTGAACTAAGGACAACTCAGGATTGAGTTGAGTAACCAACATAATTGCACAATCAAGCGCTATATCATAGCGTCCTCGCAAGGTCGGTATAACATTACGTTCAACTATACACGACATATCTCACGACAATTTTTAAGAAACACGAACTAACCAAACAATGAAGCTGTAAAATTCTTTTGTAGCAATACCATTCATACAGCCTTGTTTATTTTAAATGCTAATTTCTTTATACAAGTATACGAGTATATAAAGTAAAAAGTGTAATGAACTTCTGTACACGTTATCTAGACGCTAAAATAGCACTAAAGATACAGCTAAAACTAAAAATTAGTCTTAACATTTAAAGGTGTTCAATAATGTTTATGAAACTATTTGTTAAAGCCGATTGCAACAAAAAATCTCCTCTGTAGAGTATATTTCTTGAATCAAGAAAAAAAAATCATATTTGTCAAATATATCGATATTTGACATAATATGATTTTTTTCTTTAAGATAGTGCAATTCCCCTGTGTGTATACAAACAAACATACATATATTATGAAGCATCTAAATTTCCTCAAAATAGATACCTACCTAAGATTCGTCATATAATAATTAATATTTATTATAATTTTTTACCAAGTTGACTCATTAATAAATATTAACTTTTATAAGAATCTAGAAAATCTTAAATTACATATCTACCTAATTAACAAGTGTTTAACATTATTACGACGTCAATAAGAATATCCGTATTATGTGTCTTAAATTGATCATTTATCATAATAGACAAGGAAATATCTCTAAACTATCAATCAAATAACCTATTAAACATAAGTGCGGCTTAACACATGTATGAACTAGCGCTAGGTGCTTCCACAGACCACTTAACTCATATTATTACTTACTACGTACTAAGAAAATTTTCAAACAAACATTTTTTCCTTATAATAAAGAAATTTCTCTACGTAATAAGGACCTGATTACATAGAGATATTTTCTTTTACGACAAAAACTAACTTAAAATGGCGGCTCGAGTATAAAATAAAACCGCATCAAATGTAATGTTTTAACAGGTAAACAATTCCAATTAAGGATTTTTTTATCTGTTCCGATAATAATATCTAGAGTTTTAATTGTAGTTAGTAATTACCTTATAGCTCTTGGCATAGATACTTCTTTCAATATCTATACATATAATAAAATTGTAACTAAGCCGAATCTGTACATTAAATATTTTTTGGAAAATCTTATTGAAATAGACATTATTATCGATACAGAGACCGAATCTATAGTTTTTAGAATTTTTGTCTGTCTGTCTGTTACCGCATCACAGAAACACCACTGGAGGGATTTTGATGAAATTTGGTATGGTGATAGCTGGTTATCCGGGTCAACATATAGGACACTTTTTATCGCGGGAAAATGTCTTATTTCTGAGAAAAAATACAAAAACTGCAATATAAAAGTATACTAAAATGTAAAGTCTAAGAATTTGGTTTTTGGTCATCTAAACGCGGGCGGAGCCACGAGCAATGCTAGTCGGTTATTAAAATGAATTGAGCACTAAGAAACAAAACAAAATTAACTGCATTTAAGAACTGTAGAACCATTCAGTGCAAAATAAATAATTACCAGGTAGTAAATAAAAATAATAAAATATATAATATAAAAATACTTTTCTAGGAATTCTAATCTATTATATTACTCCATGGTCCTTATTAGAACCTGGAATTAATCATCTTTTTTACTATGCCTTATAATAATACTTTACTCAGGGTCACTATAGATTTACAATCTATAATCGAACTTGTGATCTCAGTCAGGTACATGTCAACTGTACCATCGAAATAAAAAATAAATCTAACACTGACTGACATGCATACATACACACAGCCTAAAGCACTTACTTTAGAAGCATCTATCATACTTATATAACGAAGGAAGAACAAACGGACAATTTAAAAAAAAATCATCCCCTAAATATAGTTAAAAACATTATAAAATTTTGTGTGCAAGTTCATTATTTTTAGAGTTTGAAATATGGTAATTCTTACTCTTCTGCTTATAATGTCGATGAGCAATGCAGTCGGATTCATTGCTTGTCTTAATATTATTAAGCTATTATAATTTACTCTCGTTAAAGAAGTTATTCTCACTACTTATGATTTCGCAATACTAAATTCATTTACGGTAGGTAAATGTTTAAAATTATCAAGATTTACAAACATTTATTTAAGCCTGCGATCTAACCTACTTCTTACAGTCGAAACTTTTGTGAAATTGCAGTTAAATTTATTACTACAGTTTCGAGAGAAAGTTGTCTTAATAATAATTCAGGTCTAAAATTCATTTGTTCTACCTATATAATATATTAAAAAATACTACGCGATTTTAGTACCTACCTATATAAATAAATATTTATAGTATATCGACTGGGAATAGTTACAAATAATGGAGCATATAAGTTGATTCTATCTTGCTTTTTCTTTTAAGAGATCTCGTTACTTTCTGTAGTCAAATCGATCGCAAATCCTATAATTCATCCATACTTCCATACTATCATGTCTTCCTTTCACGTCGAAACGGAGTGACGGATTGGCGTGATTTTTTGTGTGGAGATAGTTGGAGGGCTGGAGAGTGACATAGGCTACTTTTTATCACCGGAGATTATCTCACTCCCACGGGAAAATTATTTATTATCAGAATTACTTGGTATTAATGTACTTCAATACAATTAAAGAAATGTGTTTTAGCATTTTCGGAAATTCATCTTATCAGGGGATAAAATAGGGGATGAAAGTTTGTATGAAACTACCTTTTTAGAGATTTTTTGGAGTTTTAGCGCGAGCGAAGCCGCCGGATCTGCTAGTTATTTTATATATAAGATACTAGAGATTCCGCTAAACATCTCTAGGTGCCAGTTTTTTGTTACTCCAAGTTACGTTACGTCCAGCCATTTCAACGTCAAAGAATAACAAATATGCACACACATACTTTATTTGATTATATATCGCTACTACTATTTTTGTAATGCTATATGACATAGACTTAGAATTTAAAACGTTCGTTTATTTATGCTATCTATGAATATATGCAAGCAAGTTGTATTTAAATAATGTTTCATTACTAGGCGGTTAAAAAGGTATTATAAAGAAAAAACATGTTTCTTATCTCATCACATGCATTTAAATGAATACCAATATAAATATAAAAACTAAGTACATTTTATGTTACTATCAAATAATACTTAAAGTACTGTCGTTTTTCTTCTATGCTTATCTTTTAACAAGTTAAGCCTTATATTTATCTCAATATTTAATCGTCGTAATCTGCCCTCTAGACTTACAGCATCCTAGTGCATAATACATATTATTTTTCCAATAATAGAAAATTTTACATTGTATGGTCATAATAGGCCTTATATAGGAAAAATTTAACATTGACACTGCTGACAAGAATTTACTGAGCAGGTATTTCCGCAAGGAAAACCTTCGATACGGGCCGTTCCATTTGCGGAATATGTCAATCGTACATTATACTTAAAATATGTAAAAGATTTTTTTAAAGAATACTAGGTACATTTCACAATCAATATATATATATATATATATATATATATATATATATATATATATATATATATATTTATTGTTTTCTAACACAAATTTATCTAACTACAAATCTCCGATATATCTTCCCTAAGTCAATTTAGAATAGTTTTTACGTGGAAAAAGTTTTTATGTTATCTGTTTCTATTTATTTACATTTCTTACAGTTATCTTACTCTTAGATGACGTTTCAGCGCATCAACTTCTACGTTATTTAACTGATCGCCGTAATAATAATAGTTAGTACACGCAGATAATTGAGTACGAAAACTATTTTTACGTTATCCAATAACGCGAACAAAGCCGTGGGCAAAGGCTAATTTTTATAATATGTATGTATTTAAAGTTATATATGTGTAGTGTATCAACTGTCTGGTATCCATAACACAAGCCAACATATTTATTTATTTATTATTTCACGTACCCTACTAAGTTTGTTATTAATTAGCAATGGTAATACACAATACCGCGTATATCTTCGGTTTTTTTTAATTAGCTTACAGTCTAAGAGATAATTTAAAACGAATTATACGCACAATGTAACCTACTGACATTATTTTCAGTAATTGTACCTACAAATTATTTCTGTAATTACTTTTGTGACTAATATTTAACTGCCGTGGTGGTGTAGTGGCTAGCATGTACGGCTGCACACCCGGAGGTCCTGGGTTCGAGTCCCGGATCGGGTCAAGTTTAGTTATTGAGTCTTTCTGTATAAGTAAGCCCAGTAACAGCCCGGAGTTGGGAGTTAGCGGTGTTTCACCCCGTGCCTCAGAGAGCACGTAAAGCCGTCGGTCCTGCGCTTTAACTCTCACCAGTCATGTCGAGTCCCACCGGAGTATGAGAGTGACAGGAATAGATAGTGCACTTGTGTCTGCGCGTACACTTGTGCACTATAATATTTCCTGCGCAGTTGGCTAGTCTCAATGAGATTGGCCGCCGTGGCCGGAATCGTTTAGGAGAACATTATTGTACAAGTACAGGTCATCTTTAACACACTAAAAAAGCTACACTTCAGCCTATTACTTCGTGGGTATCGGTTAAATTCTATTTATCTACAGACTGTATAAGGCTTTTTTAACAAATAATAATTAATTTTTAAGAATGTCCACTTATTCCACAATTATTTTTGAACCTTGATAAAATGGTAATTTACGTATAGATATGTAATATGTATAACAGAACGCACTAATATGTCATGGGAAATGAGCACACTAATGTTATTTTTGTTCTTATGTTATGTTTCCTTAAATGCATATATGCAATGCAATGTTTTCTTGCATATATTTGAGGAAACATAGTGTTAAATTTGAATCAGCTTCAAAAAGAAAGAATACTTATTTTATGTTCGACACATATATTTTTAATATAATGAGTAATTTTCCTAGGACAAAATTTGATAGATATTAAAATTACTCTTTTATATCACATAGCTAAAACGTGTAGGAATCCAAAGATAGTATTAATATATAATTGCTACGTTGTATAAAAATTATAACAGCTGGTTAAAGCACGTACAATGTTGTTATAACTTGTAACATTACATAATTATTGTAATAAACATTAACAGGTCCTTGCCAATCCAATTTAAATTTGCAATAAAAATGAAATTAACCTAGTTTATATTGCAAAAGTTTATTTTTAGTTGAGGTATATTAGTATTACAAGATTAATCTCGATTATTACATGAAAATCCTATTAATAACTGAGGCAAAAGAAATTATTGTTCAAATAAATATTTTTCAGTCTTATGGTATATCTGTACTATACATATAAATAACAATATGTATATATTGTATGTATAAGCTATGTCATCATTATATAAACTTAATCGCGCGTGATTTAAGTTTGTTTATGAACATAACATATTAAATCCACATTGTAAGACGTAATGCAGAATAATAAAATTAAATAATTGGAATTCTAGTATTCACATTTGCATGAGAAATTAAGGAAAATAAGGAAATAAAAATTAACAGACTATGGCTGAACCTTTTTAACATACATATGTAAGTCGTACACCTAATTTGGTTCGCTCTGGAACCAAATGTCACCGTGTGTGCAATTGTCTGTTGACAATATTTATGTCATTTCAAGTGCCAAACTTGGTTCACTTGTTACAAAATACAGTCTTATAGCCGATCGCACCCATAGACATAGAGTGGACTGAGTGTTCCTTCGCCAGCCGTCAGCTAAAAATGGCGGAAAGGCGCGACAAAGACAAAACGAATGAATGGCCAGAAGTCTTCTGTATTAATTAAATACGATTAAATAAGATAGATATTTATAACCATTTTACATTCCATTATAATATATTTTTTATTAAATTATAATATTATATTTGTTATATTCCATAAATAAATTCAAATTGGGATAAAAGATAGGTATTGGCCGCATGTTCTCTTGCTCTCTTTCTAGAGAGCTGGTCAATTTCATGAGAGTATTGCTCAGCCCATTCTCTAGGTCTCTAGGATAACTTTGAGTCAACGTAGAGTCAAACTGACATTAGTGTGACAAGCGAAGTAGACATCAGATTACACATTAATTAAACAGGTTTAAAAGGTATAATACCCTTTACACCCCACTTCATTCATTATCTGTGTGTTGTGTATATCAGCAAGCTTTAGTTTTGGCGCCACTGACAAGGTGGCATATGAACGCAACTCTACCTACCTGTTTCAAATAAAGTTCTCTGTAATGTTAGATCCGGTTGTGTGTAGCGAACAACGGATTTGTCAGACGTGAGACCTTAGCGGATGACCGTTTGATAGACATGATAAATAAAATCAATTAACGTATCAATTTCTTTTCTATTAAAAACAACACTGACTTCAATAACATTTTAAATAATATAATTTATTAATAAAAAAAAAGTCATCGATTCGCATAGACTTTGTGTAAGATACACACAAAAATATACACTCGAATTGAGTATCTCCTCATTTCTTCCTTTTAGAAATCGGTCAATGATCAATTCTTGTTCTCTTACGTATAGCTTATTACTTTTTGTAAGTTTTGACATAGGATGCCCTTTTATGACTTTGTAAAAATGTATTTATAAAATTATTCAAAAAACGAAACGTATTAAAAACAAGTTTTAATATACATACATATACGTATATATATATATATATATATATATATATATATATATATATATATATAGCTTCTTGTCTTGTGTGTGTATAAAACTGTAAAAAGGTCATATAGTATATTTTTGAAAATTCTAAATGAGATAAACATTATTATCGATTACAATATCAAAGGTGCAAGTATGAAATGTTTGGTATATCTGTTATTATTTTATATCCAGGTTAATATTTAGAGCACTATACCAAAATAAATTATCCCATATACTTATAAATGTAGATATAGTATACAGAAATGTATGAATGCAACAACAGGTACCTATAGGAAATTATCGTGCTTGATTATTGCGTTAATATTCAGTATATTTTTATCCTGAAAACCCCTGAGTGGAAAATAGGGATTTTTCTGATGATTTCAGTCTCTCTGATTCAACTAGTTCTAATTCGTTAACAGTTTTAATAACCGTGAACAACAATATTTCCTGCGAAATAGAATTTCTGGGAAAGCTCTGCTATTATTGGGAAAGTGCTTACTTGATATTTTTGTAAGAAAATCATCAAAATTGAAAATTCTATGACTTTCTAGAACTTACTATTTACATTTTTATTAAATTAAGCATCATTGTTATTTAATATACTCGCTTCGCATTAAGAATAAGTAAATTTCTGAAAAAGAAAATGTTCTCGCAGGGCAACTGATAAAGATACAAATAAAAATAACCTACGTGAAAAATAACTAGATACATACATGACATTTCCCGAAAAGAAATGGAATCGCAGCATTAGACAAAAAATAATCATTTTGATTTTGAATTTTATTCACCCAATTCAAGAAAAAAAGGGATTAGAAGTAAAGTGCAAGCAGGTGAAGCAGGTAGTTTTGTACTAATTTATATGTTTGGTCTCTTTTAAATTACTATACTATACGAATATGTAATAATATATGAAAATTACTATACTATACGAATATGTACAAATTGCATTTTTTATTCCATATGCCAAAGTCACAATATCTTCATAAAATTATTTAGAGATAAAACTAAACATGCAATATGCACATATCTCATCAGATAACGCTTTATCGAAATATAAGGATACGAGTGCTCGAAAACTTGTCATAACCCATTTTTTCATTTTTTCATGAATATATTCTAGATAAACTCTTTTTTACTATTCTCAACCAATAAGCCGCACTTTGCCTACGATATATAGGCTGCTTGTTATTATATTAGGTGCAGGGCAATCAAATATCGATTCTACTGTACAAAAAATATCCACACAGGATTAAAGCCCTATATGGGAAGAGGTACAGTTTTTGAGAAATTTGACAAATTAGAACACCTGATTATAAATTAGAAGTCTATTCAAATATTTTTATGGTGTAGCGTAAATTGTTAGAAAATTCAAAAATGATTAGTAGTCTGATTTACAATTTCAATGAACCAACAACTCAGTGAGCAATAATAATAAGTAATAACAAAACCTTATAAGAAAGACTTAAGTATCATATTGAAATGTCACTTACCCGTAGGACAACAAAACAGCATAATAAAATAGTAAACTATACATATTGATGAAATAAATCTACACTACTTATTAAATTATTATAAAAAATAAATTAATTAATATAAAAATATCACTTTATCACTTTAGTATTTACAAGCATACGCTCTAAGTTCTTTTCATGGCTACGAGCGTAGCTAGGTAGAGTGTTTGAGGCTCTATATGGCAAGTTGACGTGCAACGCGCGAGCCGTTCGAACCAGCACTGTGATAATCTTCGGAGTTCAGACACTACTAAGAGACCTTTATATTGTGCATTAAATGCAGAATATGACGAATAAGTGCAGGTAATTCTGATATCGGCGACTAATTCTCGTCACCTCCAAAGGCACGATACATCGTTTCCAATGTTTGTCCCCTATACATAAGCCTGTTTTTTATCATATAATTCATTCAGTGGAAAATTGTTTTATGCAATAAATTTTAATGGTCTAATTTATTTATCTCTTTTGCTCGAATTAAATTCTGATTAAGTCTGGTAAAGGAAAAGCTTTACTATGAATGCAATATTTCGTTAAGTGTCTATTTCTTTAAGTATACAGCGAGGAAATTTTATCAATTCCAATTTTTGATTTAAAGAAGTATGTGTATAATACAATATTATATATATATATATATATATACATATATATATATATATATATATATATATATATATATATATATAGTCTGTACATTAAAAACGTATTTATATCCTTAATTATTGCATTATATCTGAAGAATCTACAGATATATTTCAATATGTGATATGTAAAATAATACTTAAAAATATTAAAAAGTATATTTTTAGCATAGAAACCTAAACTATGGTGATAACCCATTTAATGATTTCTTGCTAAAAGTGAGATTTATCACTCTACTACACTTACACATGCGGCGTAACTATACAAAATACATAAATAATAATATAATATTAACCATAATTTTCAAAGCTTTGTAGTTTTAAATTTCATAGGACCGTCCACTGGCAACCTCTCCTCGCTTTGCTCGGAAGCGTCCCAAGGTACCTAGATAGCTTTTGAATAGATAAAAATAGTTTTGTAAGCAATCATTACGAGATAGACGCATGCTATCTAACTTTTTTGTATACCTTAAAATGGCCTAAATTTTCTACTTATACATTCGATCAACAATATATTGTTGAGCGAAGATTTTCTAGTACAAAATAATGTAAGTATATATTGATGTATCTAAAAGTAATGTATTTTTTTATTTCCCCACACTTTTGGGGCATAGATGTAGGTACTACCTTGTAGTGACTAGTCATGAATTAGGAATTGTTTGTTATACTGTAAATTACTATCATAAAATGTGTAACTTATTATTTAAAAGAGCAACTGTTGAGGTTCTCGCCGGCTCTTCTCAGCCTTCTTCTTGCTTTCCGAGCCGATGGTAGTTTCCACACGAACTGACTTACTGACGATTTTAAAAGAATTAGTTATATTGATATTGCGAAAGTACTGATAATAGTAATACAGTCAAGGAATATTTGGAAGTTTTATTTTATATTATTTTTTTATTATTTATTAGTGTCATCCTACACTATGAAAACGCAATACCTTTGCTTTGACACTCAGTACTTCTCATATCAAAAAAAAAACATGATAAAAAGCCTAAGCTATCAGTCGCAAAAGTAAAGTTGAAAAAAACTATTTTTCCGCTATTCTTAATTATTCATATGATGATAATTTCACTGCATTATACACAATTACGCAGGGAATAACCACGTCTGTTTAAATGAAAAGAGATATGTCACTGGAAAAATATTTTGCGTACTTCATCACTTTTGCTGCAAGATTTTCCTGCTTGCTATCAATTTAATTCTGAATAATTTGTCATCTACACATATAATAAAATTGTAACTAAGCCGAATCTGTACATTAAATATCCTTTGGAAAATCTTAAAGAAATAAACATTATTATCGATAAAGAGGCTGAATCTATAGTTTTTAGTATTTTTGTATGTCTATCTGTTACCGCATCACAGAAAAACCACTGGAAGGATTTTGATGATGAAATGTGGTATGATGATAGCTGGTTCAATATATAGGATACTCTTTACCGCGGGAAAATATCTCATTTCTGAGAAAAAATACAAAAACTGCAATTTAAGAGTATACTAATATGTAAAACCTAAGAATTTGGTTTTTGGTCATCTGAACGCGGGCGGAGCCGCGGGTGATGCTGGTTCGCAATAAAATATTAGAACGCATAAAACTTGAAGTGGCTTACAATGTTTATCCGAATCTTTAAGTTAAGGATATCCAGCCAATTTTTGCTGCATAATTTAATTTAAAAAAAAAAACCTAATTAAATTCGTAACACAAAAAATTATTAAATTACAAAAGTTATAAGTAATAAAAAATTACTCAAACAGCCCTTTTTTATAATAATTTTACCACTAAGGCATTATAATATTATTATAATCTCAGATTAATTTGAAACTTATTGACATTTTGTGCAAGCATACTTAACACATTTTAAGATATTATTTTTGCCGACTTCGAAAAGGAAGATACACAGTCGGCTGTATTTTTTTTTATATCTTTTTAAATTCTCATTTTAATGAGTATGTCAATCTCAAGACTAAAGTTCCTATATAAATTTCAAAAATATTCAGCTTTGAATAAAATTGAATAAAATAAATTTCAAAAATATTCAGCTTTGAAAAAAATTAAATAGCAAAGTTGTTTCATAACTATGAAGTACATTTTCATTACATTTTAGGTAATCGAACCCACCCCTATAATATAATTTCAGTAAAAACTGTTAGAGGCAACTATTGTCCGAAAGATAAAGTCCGCTAAATGAAGGTCAAACAGGAGGACCTTATACTTATAATTTCACCTGCATTCTCTGAGAATGGAAACTTAAAAACAAACTTAGCTTATAGAAATAATAAAGTTAAACGTGAAAAAAGACTTAAAAATATCTAATAAGTAGGTACTTTATCATTTGTACCCCTTCCCTCTTAGTTTGCTATTTCCTATACCTACCTAACTGTTACCTGCAAGAGATTTTTGTACATTATATATATATCTATCTTTTCTGCATTTATTTATTTTTATTTTATTGATGTACAAGAAAGAGCTTATTATTATTTGTATCTCTTTTGACTTCACAGGCTCGAAGGAGCCCGATTCTTTGGAAAGCTTGTGTGGGGACACATATCCAACACGCTAAAACCCCTTAAGAGATTCAAGTTTGCTTAATATGACGCATCAGCCGGAATCCATCTCCGAGTAACCCATTTGGGAATTGCTCACAGATGACTTCCTTATAATGCGTAGGGACTATGAAAAATACGTAAAACTAAAAGGGTATATGGAATAGAATTTGGATAGGCTAAACTGGGCTATTGGTTGAGACCAGTCTCAACATTGATCTCACTAGATAGGCCCCCACAAAGCGGCACAGTGTCTTGGACTCAACGTTGGCGTGGTCGGCTGAGGGTATTGAGAAAAATGCACCGGTTTCACCATCACGAGAATGCTCGTGAGCGGGTTTACCCATTATTATGCAAATTGAGCACTTCCACCCTTACGAGCACTTAGCTCTTGTACTATACTCTGGACAGCCAATGAAGGCAATCCAGAGTTGATGAACAGATGTTGTTTCCTCTAGGAACTCTCTGGTCCGTGGTATCGCCACTCACCAACAGCTCGCCACAAGCTGCCATGCGAACTTATTATTATTACTAGTACGGTAAATAGTGTATGGTAACATTAAAACACTAACAAACTTCATTAGTTATATGTATTAAAAATCATCGCGTAAAAAATTACTAACATTTTTACTTAACGACCTTTATAAACTACTTATTTGTACAAATTGAACGCAATATTCTCAATAGCTTTGTTCCTTTCGAACGCAAACAGTGACAAACCCTTTCGCTCGAATTATATTGCCGACAATTTAGTCTACTTAAGTACTGCTCCCGTTACTATATTAAAATGGGACACATTGCCTGCATAGTGTCGTGTACTCCTGAGTAAAAGTGTTCTGTGGTCGTGTATCGAATGCGACGGATGAATGAATAACGAAATAAAACACGAAATAAAATACATTTACATTTTAACACCACAACTTTACTGGTGCGCATATCATAAGCTGCAAAGCTGGTTCGATAGAAATAAAACTACTATAGAGTGTACCTATCCATAAATCAAACAAAAAGCGGTTTAAAGAACATATCAATTTCTTATTGAAGAACTTTATGATTTTTGAGTTTTTTTTTTCAATAAAATAATGTACTATAATAGGTAGGTACCATCATATATTTTTCTCATTATATACGACGTGTTAGGTATGTCCTGTAAAACATAATATATAAAAGTTTTAAATATTTTACATGAATGGTAAGTACAAACATAAAGTTTGTCATGTAACCTAGAATTGACAGTTTAACCATTTATAAATAAAGAGATTGCTACATGACCTCAAACAAAACGTGAAGGGCAATATTTATTTTATTGAAAAAGGTTCAATCGCTGCTATTATCTTACTTATATAAACATAATTACAGAGTCTGTCTGTAATTCCAATGTAATCCTATGTTGTAATATCAATCTAAAATAATATACTCGTAAATAGTCATAAAAGTTTATAATGTTATAAGGATACGATTGTGAAAATTCTTTCACCAATAAGAATCCACATTACCGCAATAACTAACTAAAGGCTATTTTATTCTGATAATTTTCTAACTCCGCGCAATGACTAAAAATTGCAACTTGGCTCGACGCGGGACTCGAACCTAGACTACTAGATTATAATAAATAAAACAAGAATAGGTAAATCGTTTTGATTGTAAACACACAGTGGAACAACAAAGTATTTGTAAACACGTTATATTTGTTTATCTTATGATTTTAATCAGTTTATAGTAACCGTTAATATCAAAAGGACATTAAGGCGAGCCTTGTACCTTGCATAATGAAGAAATATATCAATTCACTGTTCATCAGTGTTCATTTGTAAATTTTAATTCATTCGTTTCTTTGATAA